TCCCAACTCAAAAGTAGAGAAAAACGGCGAAGAAACCGTTTGCTTTACGCCGGCTGGCTCAAAAATTTGTCGCGGTTTCAAGGAGCACGACCTGATCACGTGCGAGTCGAAAGTTCATGCTGTTGTTTCCCTAGGGAGTTAGTGAGTTGTGTTCGCCCTAGAAAGTTAGCGAGTTTTGACCTACGACACGTGACACGATTTCCTCCAATCGGAAAACGTATTTGAGTTGGGAGGTATAACAAATATATATGATCCCAGGTTACCCAAAGGCATGCAGGGATATATGTAAACTATAAAAGCTACGTTTTGACTAAGTACGTGCAGTTTATGTGTCGTCCACTTTAATTTCGCTGCCCCAATTGTGGATACGTAATAAATTATATAGGTCAGGTATGGAAATAACGTATCTTGGTTTTAAATCGTATTTATGACAACCTCGACTTTCAATCTATGATTCCTGTTACGTAATAATAAGGGTAAGGATCCGAAAACAGAATGGCTTTGTAAGAGGGACTAATGCTGATGATCAGGCGCTGATCGTCAAACTTATTATAGTTCGCAAACAATAACTTACCGCGCAGGGGCCTCAATTACTTAATTCTTGTATTAATTTTCCATTAACTGTATTAATTATTTATCTATTAATTGTAGTTATTTTATGTATCTTATTAGTACACGACCCCACAAGCTTGTTAGCTTTGACGTCTTTTATCGTGTATAAATAAAGGTTGTGTGTATGTAAGTATGTATGTATGTAAGGTTAGTGCGCTCGACTCCGGATCAAGCAGTCTGGGTTCAAGCTCTGGCCGAGGACATTGTGTTGCGTTCTTGGGCAAGACACTTTACTCTCACAGTGCCTCTCTCCAGTCTCCACCCAGGTGTATAAATGGGTACCGGCTTATTTAATGTTGGGGGTAACCCTACGATGGACTAGCATCCCAACCAGGGGAAATAGAAATATTCCTAGTCGCTTCATGCTACAGGAACCGGGATAAGTTTCGGCCTGATGGGCCACTTTGCTCGTATGCAGACTTAACCTACCTTGTAGTACAGATGTTACATGGTCATCTCTGAATATCAGCACATTTCGTCCATATAACTAACTGGCCGGCACAACCCCACCAACAATGGACTTCCAATCAGTCGAGGTTTATTCACCAGGCAGGCCTCGGCATTTGACTTCTTGGCAAAGTTTAAAAGTCGTTTGCTATAAAGGCATAATTCTGCTATGAAGGCGTTTTTACCAATGGAATGTCAATGCAGCCCGACAGTGAGAGGGCAAAACATTGGCAGGGAGCAAAAAGGTACGAAAAGTATAAAAATCCTTGTATTTTACGGTCAAGTTAGCCTTCGCTTTTCGGGAATGAGCAAATCGCGGACTAGATGGCTGAAATTCGGGCTATCGTCAAGTCTGTTTAGGCTATCGCAGCTGATGCCCAGCTGTTTGTTGGGGAGTAGCAACGCTAAAAGCGGCGGGAGAAAAGAAAGGGAAAGAGTGCGTCTTCTCCGTACAAATACCTTTATTCTTTGGAAACAATGCGACAAGTCGAGGAAGAAGACGAAATACCAAACAAAACGTGAAAATGTCTGTATGATTACAAAATATTGCCTTTTTACTTATTGAGAGAGCGCACATCATACGGTTGTGTTCAAATTTTCTTTTCCTGCTTGCGGGGGAAAAAGGCCACTTTCTAGACGGATGTGACGACTTTTTTCTTGCCAGGGGTCTCTTTCTCCGAATTCCTGGTATAGTTAGTACCTGTTTTTTGTTTTCCGTGTTTGTGATCGAGATATTAATAGTTTTGAAATCTAAACAATAAAAATATCAGGAAACGAAGCAGAATGAACGGGCTTTTTGAGCCAAAGCGCGCGCTACTTTAAAATATGGCTTCGTGTCCGGGCTTCGGATGTGGGAGGACTTAGGCGTCAATAATTACTAATTACATTCCTGTTAACTACTGGCAGCCGCTAACAAATTGAAGAATAAGAAATCAACATTTTCTGACAGAATACGAAGTGAAATGATCAAAACGAGCCTCGAAAGTATGATGCCTGTATATCTGAAACTTTTTAATAGGTTTAATGCCATAACGAAAAGATTCATGCCTGTTCTGTGGATTTTAAGAAAGCGTTTGATTCAGTTTGACATGTAGGCCTCTTATATAAAGAAATTA